CCCCCACCCACCCCCACCACCTCCACCACCAAAATAAAAAAACACAAATCATCCTCTTCCTCTCTTCCCTTTCTCTCTCTCCCAAAATTCAACCCTCCATAGTCATCATCATGGGTGACAATTTCCAACGCCAGCTATTGAGGGGCTGTTTGGTTGTATGTTTTTACCCCCACCCACCCCCACCACCTCCACCACCAAAATAAAAAAACACAAATCATCCTCTTCCTCTCTTCCCTTTCTCTCTCTCCCAAAATTCAACCCTCCATAGTCATCATCATGGGTGACAATTTCCAACGCCAGCTATTGAGGGGCTGTTTGGTTGTATGTTTTTACCATGTAAAATAATGTAAAGTGTAAAAAAGTGGGTCCCATTGTCAGCTTTCATCACTTTCAATTGTTTGTTTGTAGTTGTGAAAATAGTGTAAAGTGATTTCATATGTTGATGTGGCTTGTAAAGTGATTTCATGAAAAAAAGACATGATTTTAGGAGAAAGCTAACATTGAAGTTAGGAAAAAATAATAAAAAATAATTCCAACCAATGTGATCATTTGAGTAGGGACCACTTTTTACACTTTCCAAACAAACAATTTAAGTTTTATTTTGCAAACCAAACAAGTGTTTTATGATTCCAATGGAATCAAAAACAAACAAAGAAATGTATAAAAGTAAAATTGATGAGGTGGACAACAACTTTTCAAGTTGTGTCATAAATACACAACTTTACCAACAACAACCAAACAGCCCCTGAGCTGGCCGATCTGACTGTAAATAAAGACGAAGCTGAAATTTAGCTCGAGGTCCGATCTTTATTAATTGCAGTGAACCCATCGACGTAGATGAAGAGCAAAATTATTATTATTATTATTATTTTGTTGGAAATAGATGAAGCATTAGAGACCAAGGATGTGTCGAGTTGTTTTGATGGTTAATTGATTTAATCATTTATTCAAAGAAAGAAAATTTTATATAAAAAAGATTGGAGAAACATACATATACCCACGTATATATTTTTTAATAACTTTTATAGTTCGGTGAGCGTTTTGCACTGGTTCTTGCATGTCTGAAAACTGAAATGATTTGATGTATTGATCTGTGATATTTTGGCCAAGAACTCTTGCCATGTGATTGTTAAACTCATCATAGATAAAATCTCTAACATCATCTGTTAAGGCATGAATTAATGTTGTGAATTAGTTATCAAATTTAATGGTTGGTTGTTAAACTAAAGAATCAGTTGCTAAATTTAAATATTAGTTATTAATGTTGTCCGTTAATTGTTAAACTTAAGGATTGACTGTTAAACTTATTGATAGATTTAGGTAATGGTAGTTATTGTTGTCCGTCAGAAACTTAAGGATTGGTTGTTAAACCCATGACTTATATGTGAGGTTTAAATATTATTTTTAAGCATAAGGGTCAGATCTTAAAGTTAAAGATTTACATTATATATTGTAGAGAAAATATTACATGATAACATTTAACAAAATAAAAAAATATATATTGTTAAGCATCCATGCTAAACATAAATAGCAAAGATTTTACAAACAACTATTAACAGAAAATCATTAAACTTAATATATATACATACAATATATAAACATAACAACTAACTATTATATTAATCTTGATAATTAACTGTTAAACATAATAACTAACTACTAACCACAACCACTGAAAGTTAAACTAAACAATTAACTACTAAGCTTAACAACTAACTGCCAAATTAAGTTATGCAGATAATCCCTTGGAAGTTCTACAATTGGCAAATAACCCCCAAAATTTTGAAAAGAACACCTATAAAGTTCTAGAAATTGCAAATAACCCGACAAAAACATGCAAAAAAAAAACCCTTAGGTTATGAGTTAGTTGTTAAACTTAACAATAATATATTGTTAAATTTATAAGTTAGCTGTTAAAGTTATCAGTTAGTTGCTAATTTTATGAGTTGGTTGTTATAATCACATCAACAATGCAGGGAAAAATTACATTATAACCTTAAACAACACAAACGATTGTTTTTAACCGAAGTTAATCACAGCCACAACAAAGTGTTCTCGAGGGTTAGTTATTTATATTATTCGTCGGTTATTAAACTTAAAGATTGATTGCTAAACTTATGGGTTATAAGTTAGATTTAAGTAGTATAGCTGTTAAGTTTGAGAGTCGGTTGCTAACATTAATAGTTAAATGCTCACGGGAGGTAGAGGGAGAGGAAGGTGTGGGTTGAATGCTGATGTGGCGCCATTTTTGGGGAGACGAGAGGAGTAGTGGGTGCAAATATCGGTGATAGTGGAGATTATGTTGGTTGGGACCGCGTCAGGAGGGCCGTTGGTGATGTGACCATGGGTGTTGAGTCTAAAGAGAGAGATTATGTTGGTTGGGATCGCAAACAGTAATTTTGAGGGTGTGTGAGGACTAAATTGCTCTTCTCCCAAACCAAAACAGGCCAAGTCCATTCCAGAAACACCCTCAACATCAAAAGGGCATTTTCGGCAAATCTCAATCTTCAAGCTAATTGACAAGTTGACTTAAGCTTGAGGGTGTCACACATTCTCTTTTTTTTATTTTGGGGGCTTGAAGCACTTTTCCCTTAATAATTTTACTAATGAATATTTAATTAATATAAATGATAAATTAGTTTAAACATTAATAATTAATAACCATAACTAATGTGAAACAATTAATTTTTACCGTTTATTGCAAACATTTAAATTAACTATATTTTTAATTATTAAATAATTAATTTCTAATTAACTAATTAATAATTTCACTGATAATAATATTTTATTAATATAAATTAGTTAATTAATTACTTCAAACATTTAGTAAATTAATAACAATAATTAATGTGAAATGATCCCTTTCTTTTATTTACTTAGTTAATTAAACAATAAGTTTTTCAATAGCAATTATCTGTTTAATATATAATTAATTAATTAGTCACACCATGAGATCCATTCAACAAGACGTTCTTTTTAGTCGTTTGCCAACAATAATAACCATGCAAGTCAATGATTTACCAAACACAAAAACTATACTAGCATACCAAACACTAATTTTTTTTTCTACACCCTTACAATTGAGTTTTGAGAATAAGTAACTTAACTTGTAAGGGTTCAAAGATATAAATAGTAGCCATACATGCTCTTAGGGCAATTACTACCATACAAGTAGAATTGCTTGATTCACATTCTATGATTGATGAACAACATCAATTTGACATCTAAAACATAAAATGGCATGATCTGCCTACGGAAGTAAAGCCATAAAATAAGGTAACATGTCAGTTTCCTCGAGCACCACAATCGTAGCAACTTCTCAATCTTCATACGCAAAACTAGGTTTACTGAGAGCGCTAAGTGATTTACAAGTTACGTACTCAAGAGTACAAGGTACATCAACAGTTGGAAACTTCCATGCCGCCATCTCGGCTCGATATATAAACTAAAACTTGAAATCTTTCTTCTTCGATTTGCCTTCCTTATCCTGCATCTTACGTTTTCGCTTCTTCTCGGCCTGCAGCAATCATGGAGCTCCGTCTAAGCTTAAAAGCAGAAACAAATGAGAAACACAAAAGATGAAACAAACATAAAACCGTATACACAGACCTCTGCAACCATGTCGCTGAAGTCTTCCTTCTGGTTCCTCAGCTTCTCCTCCTCACGTGCTTCTTCGTACCTGAACATCAAATCATCATGAAATATTTAGAGAACACCCATAAGTTTCCATAGGACCCAGCGAGTAATTTGTTAGGCTTCTCCTTACTTGGCAGCCAAAACATCATCCATAGCCTCCAACTCCTCTGGTTGGATGGTGACTTCCACCTTGTCTGATTTTGGACCCCGAAGAAGATCAACCTGCAAAACAGTCGAGAAGATTTTGAGTGACAAGTTTAGACATGATAATGTCATGCACAAATTCAAGAAATCCTAATGAAAAATAAAAAGGCCTCTCACCCTTTTAGCAGCAGCTGCTTTGTCTTTGTCTTTATCAGTGAGCAGATAACTGCATCAATAAATAAATAAATAAATAAATAAATAAAACTAGTTTGCCCAATGCATAATCACAGTTACAAACATTCGAAAATAAGTAAACTCTTTATGTTAAAAATTCGAGCTAGCGATCAATATGCGTACGTGTGAGTTGTTCCAAGCAGAGTCCCAGGAGCAACTCTCTCTTCCTTCTCTTCCAGAACCTTCAGGTTTAAATTTTATTTTTAAAAAAAATTGAAGGGAAAAAAAAACGTCAGTAGACTTATATTAACTATTATTAAGCAGTCAGATAACCTAGGTAAATTAAAAAAAGAGGTAGAAATCCATTAATTACCTGATAAAGAGGTCTCTCTGGCTCCTTTCTCTGTTGCTTTCGTAGGTCAATAACATCGGGAGTTTCAACACCAGTGGGGGTGCTGTATGAGAGGGGGATAAAAAGAATATTAGACCATAACGTAATTAACTATGTCCAAAATCAAGATTTGGAGAGAAAAACAGCTCCAGCACCTTGAAAGGCTATCAACTGATTGAATGCCTTCCTCCATTTCCTCTTCTTCCATTTGTTCTTCCTCTTCTTCCTCCTCCTCCTCCTCTTCTTCCTCCAAATCTCCCCAGTGTTTGCTTCGGTCAACTGGTTCTTCCTATAACCAAAACCAGCAGATAACAAAAATATTAGGACATATACGTGAGTCATGAATGATTGCTCTAAAGTACCGAGTCAATACAACAGTTCAAGGGCAGTTATAGCAAGAAATGACATCACATGAGGGCAGGAAAATTACCTCATAGTTAGGTTGGTCTTGTTGTTGAACCCCAAAAACATCACCATACAATGGCCGGCCATACTGTAATGCAAAAAAGAGGACTTAGAAAAAAGAAAAAAAAGACGTATTACTTGTAAAATGTCAATAAAAAGCGTATCGCTGAACCTACTTCATCAACAGGAGGTTTTCCCCAACCTCCAGGATGATAACCAAAGCTGGCTCCAGGAGGAATAGGAGCATTAAGTCCTGGTATTTTCAGATGTGGGTAAGATGGCGGAGGACCATATCTCTGACAAAGTTAATTACCGTTAGTTATGCTTACAGGTACAGTAAAGTAAGAAATGCTTCTACAAAATCTTAGCGTAAGCAACAACCTGCATATTAATAAGCCAAGGAGGAGGAGCACCATCTGGCATGCCAAGAGCTTCTTTAAGATCATGTGACAGCATTCCTGGTTTCATTTCCCTCAGTTTGACCTGTAAATAGCACGAAGATTATCAAGCTGCAAAGGCTCTCCAACAAAAAGTAAAACAAAAAGCATGTAAATGTCTTGAGAACTGAAGATATATGACAGAAATTATGCCTACTCTACAGCCATAAGACACATAATTTTGGCTTTCACAAAACAGTACTATGTTAGGCAGGTAGAAATTAAAATTCATCAAAAATTAGATATTATGAATGTATTCTAACTACCCTGCTATTTGTTTAAATGCAGAAGTGGGTACTTCTTCAAAAACATATAATGATTATAAGAACCAACTTCAGATGAAGAAAATCAATGTAATGGAAACCAATGAATGCAAGAAGGTTAACATTCACTTCTACTACCATAGAGATGTATTATACTTCAATATTAAGGATGAAATGATTTTAGCAAACCCATCACAATAGTATGTCGAAAATCATAAAATTAGTCATCTGATTATTCTAAAAATGGTCGATCGCTTTGAACAGTTTTTCATGTTGCAAAATAAATTAGATTCAAGTATGATGCAATTAAATTTTAAGCCACAGTATAGTTTGAAATTCAGCAGACAAACAGGGTTAACATTTTGGACGATGAGAAGAAACAAAACTGAAAACCCTAGCTTCAGGATCCCAAATCTCTCTCCTAAAAGAACAGTCTGGTAATCAACTGTGAAATATGCCCTTAATATCTAAAAGAATTAACTGGAGAAAGTTAGCATACATTCTTGGTCTGATGCGAGTGGCTTCTAGCAGTAGAGTTTATACTTTATAATCAGAAATACTAATATTAATACTAACAATAATCACAATTCAGCTTCTTAGTCCTTCATCCTTAAACCAGCTTGAGTAAACTTGTCCCATTTCAGTTCCTTTAGTTTTTCATTCTTAACTTGTAACAGCTTGTGACTTTTTCTTTCTAAGTTCACAGATAGATACATCCTGAATAAACATCAAACTACGTTCACAATTTTTCCCGTCTTTCCATTGTCACTATCAGCTCCACACCAACCCACCAACATAGTTAACTTTTATTATGGGGCAAATCATGTCGAAATCAAACCTGATACAAGCCCCAAGCATTTAAAAGCTGGTTAACTTTGGATTGGATTTTATTAGGCCAGACCTGTCTCGTTGATGCTTGTCATCCTAATACTTTCGCCTTTCCATATCTCTCCCGATGCTAGGATTCGGTACTAGAGTACCATGCAACGTCCAGCAAACAACTGTGACATGAGGTTTACTGTAGTAAATATGCAGATACAAGCAACTGCAACAGTGATGAGATCACCAATTCGAACAATCATTAGCACCTCCAGTGAGTAGCAGTAGCCAGTAACATTTCATTTACCAAAGCACCCTCCTATTTCTCCTCTTCTACTAATTCATACATATGACACACCTAAGGAAGCAAATATAACAGACTGACACATGCAACCATGCAACTGCATAATCTGTACTTAAAGTGTGACAGACGTTACTCGATTGAGAAACATTTAGAGCTGCACAGTTGAGCGACAGCAATAATACCATCCTCATAGTGATATTGTTTACAGAGAAATCACAATTGATTTGAGTAAGAACATAAAGATTCTAGTAAGTTTTCCCTAACAGAGGATAACATGCAATTTAAATAGGTTGCATAATGCGAACATTTTCAACATAAAAGAACATAAAAAGAAGCAAAGTCAACCATAAATAACTCCACCGCAACGGCCCATAATACAATAGTCTGAAGATACAGGATCAGAAGAATACCTCAAACTCTTTTCCTTCATGATACAAATCACCATGTGTTGTAAGCTTTGGTTTAGTCTGATATTTGAAAAATGCATCATGCAGAACCTGCAGAAAAACACAAGACGAGATGAAATTTTTATATAACAAAGCGAGACACATCTTGATGTGTATGCGAGTTCAAAGACTATATTTAAGTGAATGTACTCAGCTTTCTCAAGATGATCATACTATAGGAAACATCAACATTATATCCTTCGTTACTAAATAAGAACTATAAAACTAAGATCCAGAAAGAGAAATAATTTATCTGTGGACCATGAGAAAGGTTCATCTGCCCTTCCCTCATCCCACCAACCGTTGTATTTTATATCATATTATAAAATCTCTAACTAAATCAGCAGCTTAGTCAAAAGAATAAACAAAAAAGGTTTAAATTGAGAACTCACCTGATAATCGATATCCATTTTCCCCATCTTTGGTTGCATACGCTCACGTTGCTTTTGTTTTAGCTTCTTGCTGTCTTCTTTCTCAATATATGCCTACAAGAATTTAAAAAACGTGTGAAATTTCTATTGTAAATCATGGGAAAATGAAATATAAACTAACCAATGGCCTAAGACAAGTTCACCTTTTCAAATATGATTAAGTGAAACAATCGGATCTAATTACCTGTCTTATTTTCTCTATTCCAGTAGCAGCAATGAAATCTGGAAGTTGGAAAGGCTGTTTTTCAATACCACGCTTTCCCTGAAAAACAAAGAAGACATATACGTAAATTCTATATAAGAGATTTTAATAAGCACCTAATAACAGCATGAACTTTAAATCTAAGTGGTGTAACAGCTCACAACATCTGCAATGTCAAAAAGAAGACTATTCAGTTTAAGATCTGTATAATAGGACTCTAACATTGCAAGAAATGCCTAAAAGAGAATTTTTTCTACCACCTTATATTAAGACAATAATGTTCCTTATTTCCAGGTGATGAAATCTAGTTTAGAGTCTTTAGACCTTGTATTATTTTCAGAAGTCAGCATCATATGATCTAACTACATGTCACCACCCTAGGAATATATCAAATGAGAAACCACTCAAGATCCCAATTAGAAAACACCACCAAGTCCAGGCTCCATGATGTTACTGCCAGTTCCCTGCAAGGACCACATATATGTATAAGAGGGGAGAAAGCTTATCTGACTTTATCTTCCATCACCCCCCAAGTGCAGCCCCTCCAAAAGCTTAAAATTCCCTCATGCAAAGATATATGTACTTTTCCTCATAAAGGTCATGTAAGATGTTGTAACTGACCTGTAGAAACTTGCGCTTTTGACACCAATGCCTTGGAACAGGTACGGTGTTCCTATATGACTTCAGGAAGACGAGTAGTTTTGGATCTGCTGCGGTTGCATCCCAAACCTTCAAAAGGATGAAAGAATGAATTAAGCTGTGGAAAAGGTTGTCTAACGTCAACCACGCAAAAACAGAATCATATAAAAATTATTAAGAGAAAGCACTCTTTTATAAGAAGTAAGCTGATTAACTGCAGAATTCAATGACAAAGAAATATCAACTATATCACTAAAGTCTAGCAGTGCAACATATCCATTTTAATCTCAAAAAACTTAGCACGCCTTACGTAGTCTATGAATTTGCACAAGAAACACGATTGCGACCATTTTGATGTTGTACATGTCATGTGTGTAATAAGAATTACCCTACAGGTAGATAATTAATATAATGTTTGTAAGACATTTTAAAAACAAATGTACTGGATGTGGTACACTGAACACTCTAAGGATCCAATTCCAACTAGTACTGTTATGGTGAAAGTGATGTGAATCGGAGTCACATCAGGAAGGCATCTCATGTTGGAGCATACTGTCAGAAGTCTCTGCGGAGGGCCTTTCTGAAAGTTCTGGTAAATAAGTACACTTGGTAACAAATCTGCCATTTTCATTTACTCCAACGAACTAGATGTTCTTATAACATTCCCAAAGGCTGTTAATATTCCCAGAAATCAAATAAGAAATCAAGTAATAAGAGAAGACTTTGTACAATTACATACGCTTTATTCTATCACATCATAAACTATAAATTCAACATTATTCAATTTCAATTGACAAACAACTGAAAATAAAGAATAAACAGATATATGTAATACAACACTATGCTTGACGGATGTCAAACTCTGTGAAAGACGCACATCCACCACTTATGCCAAGCCTCATATAGTTGATTATAAATAGATATATATGACCGTCTTTTCGCCGAAATCCAATAGGGTAATCCAGGGATACAAATGTGTCACAGTAGTTTACTTGTGAGAATATAATTCCAAATTAAGTAAACCATTCATGAAATGGAGAGAAAAGTTGTTTCTCCCCAGGTTTTGTGGGGCACAAATCTCATGTCGCCTACCTTAACAGTAGGGCATGTTAACTTAATCATGAGAAACAAAGTTCAATAACCACCTTCAATACAAACTCATACAACAAGGTTTGAAATTTAAATAAGAACAAACTCAAACAATCTAATCCATCTCATTCCTAACTGCTAAAAGAATAACACGTTATTATATTCAAGGGAAAGTGTATACACTTAGAAAACGTAATAACACACAAAACTCCAACAATCAATCAGCCATAGCAAGTAAACTACACAGTAACACAGGCAAACAACTAGGATCTAAGTAGGCATCGAATAGAACTAGCACATTACCACAGGCAACAATTGAGAGTTCTAGACCTGGTCCGCTAATTTCCTCATATAATAAATTTCTATTTTCTTTGTATAAATCTAGTTCCAACAAATTAAGCATTTTTCCTTTAAGCATGAAGAAACAACATAAAAGGAAGGAAGCTACAGGTTATATGTTCATTTACATTGTTCGTTCCATATTTACAGTTGAAAAAGGAACACCAGATGACAGTAAATTATTCAACCATACCTCCACCACATCAGGCCTTGAACATATTTGTTTCAATTCTGCTATTTTCATTCTCCTTTGTAGCTACAAAAGCAGCAACAGATTTAGCTGTTTCAATTAATTTGCCTTCAATAAAAAGCTAGTGCAGACATTCGTTTTAAGAAAATACCTTTTTCTTCTTGTTAGAAACACCTTTCTCCTTCTGCTCAGCATTTTGCTCCTCGTCTTCCGAATCAGAATTACCGTTCTTCTTAGCTGCCTCATTTGCAGCCACCTCGTCCTTCTGAGCATCCTCCTGCAATTATGAAGTAAAACTAGTTAAAACAAACTCCACTAATCGAAGCTAGCAAGCTTTTTAGCCTAAATTTATCTTCTACTCTCATACCTCAGCACTAGCACTAGAATCTTTGAAGCAGAACTTCTCAAAAACGCTCTTGAACTCCTCAAGAAAAGCATCCTCTACGTCTGCCTTTTCCGGAACATATTCCACTTCAACTGACTCAGCTATCTGCAACCATGAAAGAAATTTGAAACTCAATTGACCTATAAAACAAGTTAAGGGGATGAAACGAACTCTATTTTTATGCGACCAACCAAAGGTCAAGCATCAGTCTATAAAAAATCTTTAAAAATTATACATTAATAGGGAAACTAAGAAATTGTATCTAGACATTACGCTGTGCATATAACTTTAGGTTTAAGATTCTTAGCTACTTAAAGAGACTACAAAAAACCTGAGATATCAGGAAATAAGAAGAAAGCAAAATCTGCAATGACATGCCCATAAACAATAGGGTTTAAACCCTGGCATAGCTGATTAATCAAGGTCCTCACCCATTCGAATATAAAACAAGAAATCCTAGGATTACGAGAATCCATCCTAGCATCAATATATAATAATAATCTCCAATATAGATGGGCTAAGGTAGAAAGCTAGGAAATGATATCTAGACGTTACACTACCATGATTCGAGCTTACACTTGAAAGTTTAGGCGTACAATTCTCAGCTGCTCAAGGAACAAAAGGCCCTAGATTTAATAGAACCAGCAAGCAAAATTTCTCATGTAAGCAGCAACCGAAATATAATATATATATAATATATATATATAGTAATATATATATATATATATATATGATTATAATAATAAATAGTAAGATATGAATGGACTGGTAACTAATTGGCTTCCAAGCAGACTTGGTATTGGTAGTGACGTGACGTAATCTTATCCCTACATTCTACATTTGAGTTAGTGAAGGATGTTGAGGCTCTATCTTCGAGGTTGATGTATGACAAGAACTGGTAGCCAAGGTTCTCGACATTTTCTCATAATATATATAATATATATTACTATAATAGTATATAAAAGTTCAAGATTCGCAACCCTAACAGTTACAATGTAGCCACATATTGCTTCAAGATTCCCGAAACCCTAGGTTTAGTAGAACCAAAACAAATACATAAATATTCGTGAGAAATCAGCAACGGCGCGTCAAAAACCCTAGAATTAGAACTCTGAAGGCATAAATTTGAGAAGTTTCGTACTAATTGAGTGATCGACCAAACCCTAGGGTTTCCAGAACTGATCGATCTAGTGAGTAAACAGACAAACTACCTCATTTAGAGGCTCTGAGTTCTCCTTATCGTCACTCACCGGCCTTCGGCTCTCAGTCGCCGCGTCGGCCGCGCCAAGGTTTTGTTGTTCTTTGCCTTCTGCTTCCGCCGCGCTCCGGCTCCGATCGCTCTCTGCAGAGCCTGTCCTTCTTCTGCTCGATCCGCCGTGGCGAGCGGATCCCCCCTTGAGATCCGCCATGTTGCGAGTGCCGCTTCGTTCACGGTTTCCGCAATCGCCATTGTTGAGGAGAGAGAAACTGAGAGATGAGGCCGACGCCGTTCGTGAGAATTTATAGGAGTTCATTTTATCAGATGTTGACTAAAATGCCCCTCACATTTTGTGTAATTTACAGATGTGACCGAATGCTCTTTCTAGGCCCGGCCTGGGTAAGGGAAAATTTGCAAAATAGACCGTTTTTGGAAAATAATTAGAGAAATAGACCGTATTTTGGAGTAATTAGCAAAATAGATCGTTTTTTAGCAAAAGAGGTCGATTTTGAAAGAGGGTTCAGAAAACATACGGGACTACTAGTCCCGTATGTTTAATTTCATGATTAGTGCACTTAGAAAATATACGGGACTACTAGTCCCGTATATTTTCTGTTTGCTAACAAAACTGCCAAGCAAATCCACGGGACTACTAGTCCCGTGGATTTTGCTAACAAAATAGAATTTAATCGGAGAGTCCCAGTCCCCTCTCTGCACTTCTCCGATCCCTACGAACCCTCAAAATCTTTCACACAATCATTCAAACCTCACAGAAATGGCGTCCACGAGCTTGGGCATTCGAGCCCTCTGCCCTCAAATCCCCATTTCCATCCTTTCATCATCATCTTCTTCATCCCTCTCTCAAAGGAGAGCCCCAACGAGCTACACTGTTCTCCGAGCAAAGGCCGCGGCGGCGGCTCCTCCGACGCCACCGCTAGACCCTAAAGACCCGTTCTTGTCGAAGCTCGCCTCCATTGCAGCCGCCAATCCCGACCTCGTCACCATGCCGCCGTCATCGAATTCGGAGATTCCCCCTTTTCTTGAGCTCTTTGATAGCCCCAAGCTCATGGCCGTGCCTGCCCAGGTGAGTGAATTTTGAGGAGAATGAAAAAGATGTTGCTACTAAAATTTCAATGATGATTTCTGCATGTTATGGAGAATTCACCCCTAAATTTTCGAGGATGTTTGTCTTAATAAATCGACAATTGACTCCTCATCGTTTACTTATTGTGGAACTAAATGAATATAGCAAAAGAGATCGGAGAAGTGCAGTTTTGTTAGCAAACAGAAAATATACGGGACTAGTAGTCCCGTATATTTTCTGAGTGCACTAATCATGAAATTAAACATACGGGACTAGTAGTCCCGTATGTTTTCTGAACCTTTTTCAAAATCGACCTCTTTTGCTAAAAAACGGTCTATTTTGCTAATTACTCCAAAATACGGTCTATTTCGCTAATTATTTTCCAAAAACGGTCTATTTTGCAAATTTTCCCGCCTGGGTAACAGCCCACGACAACGCATAAAAAAGCAGTTCTATGTATCCTCAGTTACAAAATGGTGCAAATATACAATAAAGAAACATTAGAGGCACACCTTTGGACACAATCCCAACCACACCCCCTCACCTGCTACAGTGCAGGGGCAATGGTGCAAATATACAATAAAGAAACATTAGAGGCACACCTTTGGACACAATCCCAACCACACCCCCTCACCTGCTACAGTGCAGGGGCAACGTGAAACGATCAAATAAATTATAACTGTAGATCTGAGTGATGCGCGTTCTCATTACACCGAGAATCTTCTAGATACGGCAACCAAACGGCGACTCCGCGATTATTTAAACCGAACATTCCACAACTTTCGCCTCGCACTTTACATCGTCGAAACGCGATCGAGGCGAATTTTTACGAATTTTATTCCGTACTCGTTTCTTTCAGGTAATCAATCAATTAGTTTCCCCAATTTCACGTTCTTTTGCTTTGATCTTGATTTGTTTCTTCAATGTGCACTCGATCTGATCGGTAAAAAGCGGGATCGGGTTTCTTGATCGTGCAATTTGGGCGTTTAGGGTTCATTTTCTTCTTCGACGATTTTCTTTGAGCTAATTTGCTTTAAGAATTAATATTTTTTTGAAGAAAAAGTTGAGTTTTTTTCTTTCTTTGCAGTGTTTTAGAGTTCGTCCATTTGACTTTTGGAGGAGGAGGCTTGCATCGGTTGCAGATATGGGAGAGGTGAGAGATATGGGAGAGGTAAGAGGAATAATGTTTGAATTTTTTTTATTAAGGAAAATGCTTCTTTTTTATGCAATAGACTTATTATTTGCGGACAGTATTTACGGTCACGAGATTGATTGTAATATAAAGATTGAATAGGCATAAGCTATTTTCTTAATTGAGGTCAATGAAATAGATAGTTGTCTAATTGGACAAATTTATCAACATTTTTGGGTGCTATTCAACTTTAAATTCCTCAAAGTTCCTTGCTTTTGGGAGAGATGCTTTGTTGATGAACTGATATTTATAAAGACGGCGATAATCATCCTAAGAACGCAAGATTAATTGCCGAGTCCTTGTAATATTGCTTTGATTTTTGTTTGGTAACTCTTGATACTTGGATCTTGGGTTGCTCTTATGAAATTTTTGTCATTGTCATTTGAGAAGCTTGGATTTCGGTTGTCCAGAGATTCTTGTCATTTGATTTCTTTCAATAGTTGGATGGTTTCATGTCAGTTATGTCACTTTAAGATGTGAAAGATTAATGCAATCAAAATAGACCGTTTTTGGAAAATAATTAGCGAAATAGACCGTATTTTGGAGTAATTAGCAAAATAGACCGTTTTTTAGCAAAAGAGGTCGATTTTGAAAAAGGGTTCAGAAAACATACGGGACTACTAGTCCCGTATGTTTAATTTCATGATTAGTGCACTCAGAAAATATACGGGACTACTAGTCCCGTATATTTTCTGTTTGCTAACAAAACTGCCAAGCAAATCCACGGGACTACTAGTCCCGTGGATTTTGCTAACAAAATAGAATTTAATCGGAGAGTCCCAGTCCCCTCTCTGCACTTCTCCGATCCCTACGAACCCTCAAAATCTTTCACACAATCATTCAAACCTCACAGAAATGGCGTCCACGAGCTTGGGCATTCGAGCCCTCTGCCCTCAAATCCCCATTTCCATCCTTTCATCATCATCTTCTTCATCCCTCTCTCAAAGGAGAGCCCCAACGAGCTACACTGTTCTCCGAGCAAAGGCCGCGGCGGCGGCTCCTCCGACGCCACCGCTAGACCCTAAAGACCCGTTCTTGTCGAAGCTCGCCTCCATTGCACCTCGTCACCATGCCGCCGTCATCGAATTCGGAGATTCCCCCTTTTCTTGAGCTCTTTGATAGCCCCAAGCTCATGGCCGTGCCTGCCCAGGTGAGTGAATTTTGAGGAGAATGAAAAAGATGTTGCTACTAAAATTTCAAGGATGATTTCTGCATGTTATGGAGAATTCACCCCTAAATTTTCGAGGATGTTTGTCTTAATAAATCGACAATTGACTCCTCATCGTTTACTTATTGTGGAACTAAATGAATATAGCAAAAGAGATCGGAGAAGTGCAGTTTTGTTAGCAAACAGAAAATATACGGGACTAGTAGTCCCGTATATTTTCTGAGTGCACTAATCATGGAATTAAACATACGGGACTAGTAGTCCCGTATGTTTTCTGAACCTTTTTCAAAATCGACCTCTTTTGCTAAAAAACGGTCTATTTTGCTAATTACTCCAAAATACGGTCTATTTCGCTAATTATTTTCCAAAAACGGTCTATTTTGCAAATTTTCCCGCCTGGGTAACAGCCCACGACAACGCATAAAAAAGCAGTTCTATGTATCCTCAGTTACAAAATGGTGCAAATATACAATAAAGAAACATTAGAGGCACACCTTTGGACACAATCCCAACCACACCCCCTCACCTGCTGGTCCCCTGCACTGTAGCAGGTGAGGGGGTGTGGTTAGGATTGTGTCCAATGGTGTGCCTCTAGTGCCACTCTATTCTATTATTTATAATTGTATCTACTCCCCCTTGTTCTTTTTTTTTCTTCCTTTCTTTTCTTCTTATTATTATTTTTCAATTCTCAAACTTTGCTATCTCAATTTTTTTTCAAAGAAAATAAGGCTGCATGAAGTCCTCCTCGTTCAAAGCATCAAATGGCTTATCAAGCTACATTTGAGGTGAAAGACAAGAGACGTGTACATTTTTGTTAAGTCATTTTCTTTGTTAGAAATGATTAGAACAATTCTCCACCTTGTCCAAGTTCGTTAATCAATTCCTTTGATCACTTCTCCAAATCTATAAAATTAGAGCATCATCGTAGATTTTATAGAGAGAGTTTGGAGATTTTAGGGGAAGCAATAAAATATGGAGTCTTTTTAAGCGTGGGTATTTTTGCGAACAAGGGTAATATCGTCTTCTTCGTTAAAATAAAAAACCATTTTAAGAAATTTACATGACGAACAACTAGTGGTATATATTTGCTCAGTTATGTAACTTGGGGGTATGTGAGTCTTTTTTTTCGAAAATGATAAGATATTTAAGTGCAATGTAGCCTAATAATAATTAGGGAATGCAAACCGATGTGGATATCTCTAAAATAAACGAGCAAAATTTAGGAAATCAAAATATACATAACATGATCACTAATCAATCAAGTTGATGAAAGAGAAGTTTAGATCGAACTAGAATTACATGAATCGCTATTCCTAAACCTCTATTGTCCTAAGATATTATCCTAAGTATTTGATCTTATGTGAAAGCTTCAAGTAACTATGAGGAGAGAGAGAGAGAATCTTCAATTTAAACTTTTATTTTACTAATTTTTTCTCAGACCTTCACTAGTCTTGATTAACTTATCTCGTTTGTTTTCTTGTCGTCTCCATCGCAACATTAGCCTCTTGTATGTAGGCTTGGAAAACCCTCAATTTTGCCTCTCTTTTCAATGCGGGACTATTCAACATGCTATAAAGTGGCAAATGGCTAGCAACGTGTCATTGCAAGCAAGAGGAGGCTTCCGTTAAAAGTGTTTTTTATTTATTTAGGGGCCTTCGTTTCCCATATATTGGGAAATACAATTTCATATAAAGAAACTTAAGTTTTAGATTTTCCAAAATTTTTCAAAACTTTCCAATAAATAGATTGATTAGGTAGGTTCACACA